TTACTAAAATTTTTGAAAATTTTATTAACTTTTGATAGATACTAGCATATATTATCAACATTTATCAACATTTATTAGTTTTGGTCATATTTTCTATATAATATTTTCTTCTTTTCTCCAAGAATTTTCAAAATGCCTATATAGTTTTGAACGGAGCAGTAAATTCGAAGCGCCGTAGCTCAAAAACTAAGTTCCGAAGCTTCTTTTAGTTCTAAGTAACTATTTGTGGAAAGACTAGAGGAACAATATTGGTTAAGACATCAAACGCGATTATCTTATTGATATTTTGAGTAATTTTGCTTTTTATCTTATGGATAAGAATTTTCTTTGATAATCATCTCAAGTATAACAAATAATTCTCTAGTGTTACAAGGAAATAATTATTGACGATATGGCTTAGAACTTGAGAAAATGACAATCACGCATTATAGAGGTTGCCAAAATGGATAATAACCCTCAACCTCGTTATTTCTTTTATTTTCTTTATTTCTGCTATTTCTTTTATTTTCTTTTGCCATAAGAAAAAGTATAAAAATGATATAAGGAAATATAGTAGAAAAAAGTGGAGCAGAAAAATTAGTCAATAAAAGAGTGTTAAAATCGACCTACTTTTCACACTGTTCTGACCAATAAAATCACTCCAAATTACACAAACTCACCAAATCTATGCCTCTTTCTGCCTTTAAGCCCCCTGTTATATCAGATACCCCTGTCAAAGTGTTGCAAAGTTTAGGATTACACCATTACTGTTGATAGACCCCTGACCCACGACAATATAATTATATAAAATAAGAGTCTTTAAAAAATTCTAGCAGTCAGCAAAGCTGGTTAGAAATTATCTAAACAAAAATATCATATTATTTATTTATTAATCATACAAAATTTTATATGATTTTATTAAAATTTTAATGTGTAATAAAATATTTATATATAAATTGATACATTATTGATATCCATTATTTTAAATAACTGTCTCTATTTTTATAACATATTTTCAATATAATTTATTAATTATATTTTGTTGCAATCATATTTTCAATATAATATTTTATATTAAAAATTCTTCAAACATGATTATTCATCACTTCATATAATAATTTTTTATTTTGAAATAGTCCAACCTTTTTTTTTTCAATAAATGATTTTAAACAATTTTCTTTTGTAATGAGAATTTTACGAAGACAATCGTAACGTGACACATAATGTATTGCGGAATCCAAATATGGACAATGTTTTGACTATCATATAATACTGTACAGTACATAATTGTATCCCAACCCGAAATCGTTGGTCGGTTGTACTCTGTCATTTCATTGAATACAGTAATATGGATACTCATAGTTGGGCTAGTAATTTTGAAAACTTTATAAACAAATTAGACATAAAAACCTTTAAATACGATGATTTCGAAGATCATGAATTAATAGGCAGCGGGGCATTTGGAAAGGTCTATTCGGCA